AAAAAAGCACTACGATTAATTATTTTTGAATTTCATTTCCTACGTTCCACATTAAATAGATTCTTTTAAATCGCTCGATTTTAACCAGACTCGCTCTCAAAGGGATAAAATGGTGAATACGAGCCTTCGTGACAAAAACACATGTTATGTTTGTCGACCACTTTCGTTTCTGTTACCTTTGCAACTTTTTAGCTTGATTTTCAATAATCTATCAAAAAACCCTATAGTATAAAGTTTTTGGAACTAATACTAATCATGGTTTAGTTTATGATAAATTCTCTGATTCATTTTATGAATAAAAGACTAATGACCTATTGATAAAGTGGTTTTATGTGCGATAAGATATTTTCTGATTCGAACTTTAGATTTGTATCTATCTGATGATGTATATTACACGTATTTTCTTATCAAAAACTGATATTAAATAATTGACAATGTGTTCTCAGAGTTTTGAGAAAATATAGAACAAGGACAGATACAATCTTGTCTGTGTTAATCCAATTCTACTTGCTGTTCCCACACACCATAGCGATTCTCAATTATAGATCACAAATTCTAAGTTTGATGATTGTTTTCGAGTGAGTATAGGAAAAAATGATTATATTACACTATGTATATATATCTATGTATTATGTAGAGAGAAAGAGAGGGGGAATGAAAAAGCCAATTACGATGAATTTCTAACAGATCAGCCGTGAAGGAAGTTTGATAAAAAGAAGAGTTCTTCATACCCATTTTTCCCAGTCTTAAAGATCAAACATCTTAGATGAATATTTGATTTATTAAATAATCAAATATCCATACCATTTTAGTAGAAATTAAGTGTAATAAATATAATAACAACAGCTAATTTAAATTTCATATTTTTAATGTTTATTGATTATTTAAAACTTTTTAATTTTTCGACGTTTCGAACGACACAGCGTTCATTTTCTAGAAACGGAGAAAGTATTTATATATGTGTATTAATGGTTTATTTAAATTCACCCGAACAATTGTTAAGCTTCGCTTCTAAACAGTCACAAAAAAAGAAAACTATTTGATAATAAGAAACTTGTACAAACGAAATTGAAGTGTTATGTTACAGTTACAATCTTCCCTTCTCGGAAAAAAGAACACAAACAGAAAAGGATAATATACTATTTACAGAATAATTGTTAATCTTGGCAAGCAATTTTTTAAAGTTATAGTTGTGGATAGATAAAAATCATAGTAACATTGAGAATTAAAAACGAGCACATAATCAACAAACGATAAGCGATTCTCATGTATTACATTCAACAGTGTTCTACAAAGTCTACCCCCATCAAAAATTTTACATTTTTACGCAACAAAGAAGGATTTGAAGCATATTCACGAAGATAGGGAATGGAACGTTTTGGTTATATGAAATCCGCAATAATAGCGGGGTTTCTGTCTATTTGTATTTCATATATTTTCAATTTCAATATACTTAGCATCGTACCATTAGTACTTCGAGCGGAACTTCTGACGATTTAACGCTTCTAGTTGGTTTTATTTACTAACTGACAAAAATGGAAAAACGTTTGATAATGACTGGCGATACGGATGAATGTAAGCTAATCGATAGCCAACTTCTTTGCCCGTCATACAACTGGAAGCGACTCATTTGAAAGGTGTAGAAGTTTTACAAATTTTGCTTTTTATATAATCCATGTGATGAGAAAGGATAGTTTGGCGTGAAGGATAGTAGTAGTAGGTTGAATTTGGAAACATGTGAGAGCGTGTGTAACGCTGAATAATGGGGTTAACTTGACGATGAAACAAAGTCGAGTTTTTTGCAAGTTGATAGGTTATTTCCACGTTACAGAATAAGAAATAGGACGAGTAAGGACATTAGTAACTTGTTTGGAAAAATTGCGGAGTAGACAACTAGAGGACCGATAAACAGACGGAGAAAAAACACTTTTAAATCATCAGCAAAGAGATGTTCCCAATACAGATCAGAAAAAGAGTTTAACAAATGATGATGATATACGTTTTTCCAAGTGGCGGTTCGAAAAAACTAGCCCCAAACCCAGGGGGATAACTTTATTTATTCAAGCAATGTTAGTCATTTGTTTCTTTCTATTTTTAGTTTACTTTTATATATGGAGGGGGCGGGAAGGGGAAGCATCTAGTTCTATGCCATCTAACAATGTTTCATTAGATAGTCTAAAAAACAGAAACTTAGACGAACAGTTCTATAACGATAAAATGTCATTTAGTTTCTTTCTTTCTATACGTTGTTATTTTTATTTTTGTTCTTATGTCAACTATGTTTTCACTCTGTCTTTGTTTCTATATCTCTAGTTTATACACTTGCAAAGAGTATTTTCGTTTCAAGAGTTACTGTACACATACACTTCTTCCTTTTCTTGAAAATGAAAAAAACGTTGAAAAATCGAAATGTTGAAAACTTAATTAAACAGTTTTAAATAATCAACACATATCACCGAAAATAAATGAAGTTGGTTTTGAGTTGCTGAAAAGTGCTTTTTTGTATTCAGTACACCCGATAACTCAGAAAATTTCTACTTTTGGCGAGGAGTACTTCCGAAAGTTTAAGAAAAGTTTTCAAACTAATATGAATTTTTTTTTTCACGGAAATTTTTTTGCTCCATTTTGTTTCAAAAGTTTAGGGAAACTTTTGAAAGTACCCCTCGCCAAAAATAGAAAATTTTCTGGATTATCAAGTGTACTGAATACGAAAACACACTTTTCAGCAACTCAAAACCGACTCTATTTTTTTTTTGTTTCGGTAATACGCAAAATTAAAATTAGATGTTGTTATCATATCTATTAATCTTAGATGGATGCCATGTAATTTGACAAAAGAGCGCATTAAAATGTTCAAGGACAAATTTTTTTGTGAATAATATGGCTAGTCTTGAGCATAAACTAAATCGTCATAAAAATAGTGGTGCTCTTCTGGTTTTATTTCAGGTCTCTTTAATTACTATCAGCTTTTCTAAAAGTAATACAAAAAGCAAATATCTTAAAACTGATAGTAGTAGTATGGACTCTGTAAGACACTTATGCCATCTGTACTAGATGATGAAGTTTAGATTTTATTGGATGAAATTTTGTGCTCTTTGTCTGCGAAAAAATTTCAAGTTGAAATTTTCAACTTCAATAATATTTCGAAATTATCGAATAGAACCAAGACTATAAACAAAACATTGTATTAAATTTCTTCAGAAAAGGATGACGAAATTGTACTAAAATAGTCGCGATAAGATTCACTATGAATAAGAGAAGCATTCTTACCAAATGAGAATATTCAAATACATTTTCATACGAGCTGAGAATGCGATAGAACGAATGAAGTGAAATAAAATCCATAGAAAGAAAGCGCGAGATTCACATGTGTATACTAGATTAGTGACGCAGCGGCCTGACGTGAGTTGAGGATCGGTCCCATCCAAGAATGCTGTTTTTTTCGCTTTTTGACCTTTGTTTTTTAAAAAAATTAGATTAAAAACTTTAACTTTTTTCGTTCTACACATATAGATTCTCCAGACAGAAGATTCAATAAACTTATTCGTCCTGATCCCATTCAATATTAATCGTTTATTGATTAATGTATAATATTGATGGCTTCAAGAAAAATAGTAATAGGACAACTGAGACGGAAAAAACTATTTTTGCTTTTTCGGCTATTCAAAGTGGCAATTTTGGTCCTAGCACTAGTTATTTTGAATTATCTACTGAATTTGATTGAGTTTTTGTAAATTTTCGAGAAAGATCACATTTTTTGAAGGGCCTTATAAATCTTTCTGGAATAATAATCTTCCATTTGATTTTACGACTATGTACGATAAAAGATCAAATAATTGCAACAAATACAATGAATAAGTTGAAATGAACAAAAAATAGGTGATTGTATCGATGAATATTTCTATTTTTATTCCACAACAATACTGAAGATCAGAATCGAGACCGTATGGGAATTAGCTGTATCAGGTTTAAAAGGAGTTATTCAATAGAATTCTGTTTTCTTTTGTACCGTAATGAAGTTACGTTTGGCTGAATCATCCATTAGAAGTTCACTGGCTATTTGTTAAACTGAATTTTAAGATATGTGGCGATTTTCTAGGAAAGTGAAGCGTATCAAATATGGAAACTTATCTCTTCGAGTTGTACCTTTTTATACTGTGTATGGGGAGAAAAATTAGAATGAATACCGGAAATAAATTCAGTATAATTATGAATACACTTTTCCTAAAGCAACTGTTTCTTCTGTTATGTATGCTGTCAAAATGGAAGTTGTTAGTAGAAAAACTGCAATATTAATTTCTTTACGTTATTATTATGACAAACACTTGATTTCATGTATAAAGCGCTGCAGAAAGTTATTAGTTCCTTCCTTTTGAAAGTTTTCTGCATCACTAAACTTATCACTGGTATTAAAATTCTTGCACGTGTTTTTGATAAAAAAGAAAATGTATTTTTAGCAGGAAAAACTATAATTTCAGATGCGAAAGAATCACCTACAGAAAGTCGTTTATATGCTAGATTCGGTGTAAGAAATTTTTATGAAACACCCTCCTGCATTTTGTTTATGCTAATTACTTTTCTTTAAGTCTTTTCTAGCAGCTGAACTATTGTTCATTTATTTTGTATCCCGGTTTGGCCTGTCGAGTTTTGTTTGTCAATGCACATAATCAGAACGAGGTTTTATCGATGTTTCAGATGCAGTAATTTTTTAGACCATTTTCTTTTCGTTTTATCAATGGCAACAAATAATTCTTCGACATCTAGTTCATTATTACAACCGATCAGCACGGAAGATTATACGTTGTATTATCAACAACAAGTTGATAATTGTAAAAAATTTGCTGAAGAAAATATTAAAGAGTTTAATGAATTTACATTTGAAAAAATTAATTTACCATGTGAATATGAAGATCATAACAAGACTTTGAATGACTTTATTACTTTGCAAGTTCATATGATACTTCTTTTTAAACTTGGCTGAATTTTATTTTTTTTTAAGTATGAGAAAAATATGCTCAACAAATGGACAAGTAAGAGTAATTTTATGACTACTGGTTTCTTTTGTTTACTTCTTCTCTTTCCCAATTTAGCCCTTCGATGAAAATGAGTGTCGTAAAGCTATTTCGAAACAAGTTACAGATACTAATGTCACTGCTGCAGATCAACAAAAAAAGTTAGTTCTATTAAGAAATCTTTCCATTAGTTCGATTTTCTTATTTTTCACAGAAATGAACATAAAGAAAAGATTCACGATCAAACGACTGTTATCGCTATTCGTTCGTCAAGTATTACTGCTATGAATCATCTCTCTCCAATGACAAATTTGAATCGTACTCGTTTGGTTCCACCATTCGATCCTGTTTTAAGTTCAACGCCAAAAATAGTGAGTTCTCTCTCTCTTTATAATGATCAGCATGGTAAAAACGTTTTTTCAGCTCATGCATCCGGCTATTTCAATTAAAATGGATATTCCAAGTAAGTTCATTTCTTGAGATGAATTTGAACTTTAAATATGTTTTATCTTTCAGTCAGATCATCGTCTCCACCACCACCACTTTCCTCAACACCCCAAGGAGTCAAAACAGCTGTAAGTCGAATGAATGTGTATTTTGTGTTTTAAAGAATTTCTCAAATAAGTATCCAACAAATTTAAGAGAAAAGAAACTGCAGATCATTTTATTTGGCAAAATAAGTTGCAAACTTTTACGTTGTTGAACACTCAAAGAAAACAAATGCTGACATATTTATAAAGGCATTTTAACTACAGAATAATTCAGATATTCGTTAAAACACGTTTTAGTCTACCATTTTCTTTTTTTGTATTCATTTTCAGGTACCTGTAGTACAACAACAAGTACCAAGTGTTATTAATGACGATAAGTTTGATGAACCGATCAAAGAAAACAAAAAACGTAAAAAGAAATTAGAAAAGAATGATGAATCGATCACTTCAAGTATCCGATTACCACCTAAAATTCTACATAGTGAAGAAATTGTAAAAAGGACCGATAATATTCAGCAACAAAGCTCTCAGTCAGCCGTCATTCAATCGGAGGAAGCTAAAATACGCTCCGATAACCTTACTGATAATATTCAGGCAACAAAAAAATGTGCTCCACATGGAAGAGCGAAAAACGTTGTTGTGGACTTACCTCCACCATCAAGAAATATGTTAACACGGGCGAAACAACGGGCGTCAGTTGATATTCAAGAACCAAGTATTCAAGAAAAGACAACAAAAATACCTCGTAGCCGTAGCAAAAAACAACAAATTCATGCCGATGAAGCATCAGCAGAGACAGCTGCAAAAAATAGCGGAAGCAATCCGAAGCACCCTGCATTGCTGCCAACAGTCACTCAAACAAAAGATGATGAACTGTCTAAGCAATTACCTTCATCAACAAGTTCGAAACATCAAGCATTTCTTGGTTTACAGTCAAATACCGATCAAAAAACAAAAATACGTGCTCGTGACAGGGATCAAGAAAATAATGTCGATCAAGTCTCATCAACGATTGCTTTACAGAATGAGCCACCACTGTTGGCAATTTCAGTATTAACAAATGAGCAAGGAAATATTGAAGAAACATATAAAAAACATTCAATACGTTCTTCACACACAAAACGAGAAACGTCAATAGATATCCAGCAATCATCAGAGTTAAACACACAGGCTCTCGACAAACAGTCGAACTGTCGTTCAACACGTTCGTCGAAAAGAAAACTTGAAGTTACTGCACAAGCAGGTACCAATGATACATATCCAAAACGTGGCCGTGAAAGAAAACAACAAACCAAAGTCGATCAAGTATTAAGAGAAAAAGTATCACACAAGTCAGCGAATATTCAGCAATCATTAGCTGTAGCAGATCATAACACAAATCTTCCACCGACAGTCCCCAAAACAAAACGTGCTCTACGGGGAAAACCAAAACTATTCGAAAAGAGCGTCTCACCTTCGAAAGTTGACAACAATCAACACAAATCTGCACTACCTAAAAAATACGATTCGTCAGCACCAATAACAAATGTTTTCAATGCGCCACCAGTTGACTTTTCTTTTCCGCCGGTAGACCTAATCGTTTCACCACCAAAAATCATTCGTCTTGGGCGTAAACGGACAAATAATCATAACCAAGTATCTTCTCAAATAGAATCGTCGAACACAACACATTTTCGAGATAAAAAAGATGATAAAGCAATAGATAAAAAGGATGTTTTAGTCAATGCAGCTTCATCATCAACTACCACTACCATTAGTGTAACAGCTAGAGGGAAAAGAAAGCGAGCAGATTTATTAACAACAACTGAACTTCCTCAATTACCACTACCACCAAGTTCATTGAGTGTGAAAGCATTTCTTAAGAATAATCAAGAAAAACGACCAGCACATAGTAGACAGAATGAATCAACATTAGACAATCCATCACGAAAAAGGCGAATAGTAACAGTTAATTCTCAACAAAATCCATCAGCAGCACGAATTGATATGCCTGAAATATTTCTACCATCGATTCATGATTATACCAAAGATAAATTTAAATCTCCAGTTAAACGGTCATTACGTTCTAAAAAAAATGATGCACAAGTCATCACGTACAGCCCGTTAACACGAAAACGACGAGTACCAACAGCTAATAATCAGTCGAGCTCTACAACCAATCAAGTTGTCCAAGTTCCGAGAACACAATGTATAACGAAAACCAAAGGAAAACGTACGTGTACAATATGCAATAGTTATATTTAAAGTTTGTATAAGACTTTTTCATCTCATTCTCATGGCTTCATATTAAATTTTGTTTTAACAAAAAAGTTTATACCTATGATTTGTATATGTGACTTTGTTTTGTTAAGAAAAAGTCAGATTAGTTAAATTATGTCTTGTTGTAGAAATGAAAACAACATTTTTCGTACTTTTTATATGTAAATGCTATTTTACTTTTTCTCTGAATAGAATAAAATAAATGGAAATTTGAGTTGATTCTAATGAGTGGATAGCGCAATATTATCAAAAGAAATTACTGTAAATTTGTGTATATATATAATTGCTTTATTTAAGTTTTTAGGCAGCTCGCCCCTAACATGTGACAGCTGTGACATTTAACATTAAAGAACATTGAACATTAATAATGTCTAATAGCAAATCAAAAAAGTGTGTTTCCTCTTTTGCCATTCCCTCGTGTTCTTTGAGGGGTGTCCTGTTGGTAAGTGCGGGATGAAGCGATCCTCTTGATGTATCAAAAAGTACATTTTGACTGATTTGTGTTGAATATAAGATTCGAACGCCTCTGGGGTAATGATTAGAGTTTTGTTAAGAAATCTTGAGCAGAATGAACGTGCTCGTTCCTGAACCGACTTGACTGTTGTAGACCATCTGATTTCATTGTCTGACGCGTCAGCCCATAAAAGAACAGCTCTTGATTTAATATCATTCTAAAACGTTCTGTCTCTTACAGTAACTGATTATTGATGGTTTTTATATTCAGACAATGTGAATTATTTGAAAACTATCACTCAAAGAGTTGTATAATCCTGGTAAATATTATTTATTTTATAATGAGCATAAATTCTTCAGTTACATAAAATACATGTGCAGTTTCAAGAAGCCTAAAAAAAGAAAAAAGAATTGGTTACTATAGCAGTAACAGACACAAAAACACAAAGAGATAATGTCACAGGAGAGCTATGCTGCCATAATAGAACATTGTTGAAAATAAACAACAATAAAACAAGCAAAATTAAAAAAAAAGAATCAGATACAAAGATTTCTCAATATTAATATATCAACAAGAAAAAAAAGTCAACATTATTTTCTTAGACTATTAAGGCCATTCATGTACCTATACTCTGTAAAATAAAAAACAGAGATCTAGTACTAGAAATGAAAATGAAAAATAAAAAATAAGAAGAGTATATAAATATCTGATCATTCTTTAGAATTTCGTGTTAAAAACGATAGTAAAATAAAGAGAAAACGAATTATTATCATTGGATGGATGGATTTCTATGTGACTAGTTAGTGATTAATTGTTCTAAATGAAATCAAGATGACGGTGGTACAACTTGCGGAGAAGAAGACAGTGGTGCTGTCGGAGTAGGTAATGGACTTAGGGACGAAACAATATCATTTGCTCTATCTTCTGTCGTTTCATCTGGAATATTTAAACCAGGAGAGAATGGATCACAAATACGATTTATCCAAGGTGTAGTATTGTCTTTGTAAAGTGTCATCCACACACCACCATGCTGATACTAAAATAAGCAGAAGCAAAAATGTTATGATAATAATTACTTCTTGTATAAATTCCAAGATGGTAGCATGAAAAATACTTACCTTGACCTTACATCGTTGTGGAACTATTTCTCCTGGCAATCGTTCAATCCTTAAAGCATAGATTTGTTCGTTGGAATTTTTCGTTCGAACTGTTATTGAAAAATTAAATGCTCTAAATGAATGAAAATTATAATTATTTTGATTAACTTAGACTTTTTGATAATTTACTGTGTGTCGAAATCCAATGTTTTTGTTTCGCTATTGATGGGAACCTTTTTAAAACCGCTAAGTAATCTTCGACGTACACGTAATTCTGGTATAGCCATATAAACTAATACGCGACGTTGTCCTACTTCTTGAACAACAACTACAGCATAAACATAAAATCTTGGATTATTAAGAATTATTATAATCTTAGAAAATACTAACAGCTTGGAGTAATTTCGCTAGCAGCGCCTTCACGATTCATTTAGATTTTACTGTGGTGGTAAACAAATTTAAAATGCCTATACGTAAAATAAGACCAGCATTATTTCTATTAATCTAAAATGAAAATAAACTAAATAAGAAGATCGTGGTCTTATTTTTCTTATTCACTAAGAATTTGAGAAACAAAATTATACTGTTTCTCAGTAGTTTACTGTCAAGTTAAGCTATAAAAATATAAAATTAAAATGAATATCATTTATTCATTTCCAAAAACGTCGTTGTCTTTCAGCTTTAAATGCCGTCTTCTACACCAACGAGATTAATATAGTGTTACAGACGAGTTAAATTCAGAGACGGCGCAGCGAGTTAGTAGCTATGAAGACGAATTTTTTTGAAAAAATTGAAGGTAAATATTGAAAGAATCTTCTGTTATAAAATTGTCTAATTTTATCTACTTTGACCCAACCAATATTAAAAGTAAGTGTGAGTAATTAGGAACGAATAGAGATTCAACCCTCGTTTCTTTCTACTTCATCAAATATACACATTTGTAATAAACAAGGATGAGGAATGTGCAATCAACATGATGCATAATCGGATTATTAGTGACGTAATGTACTTACAAAAAAGAAGGAACGTTGAGACCAGAAGGATCGTAGTTTTGAAATTTAATTTTTTGGAGACTTACTCTTTTAGAATTAAAAGAAAAGAATGTTCAAACAGTTAAGATAAGATAAGGCGCCCACGATTCAAAACTTATACACTTTTTTTTCTCGACAATTTACACATGGTTAGAGAACTCGTTAAGCTGATTCTGAATATATGTGTTTCACCCTTCAGAATTACTTTTGGAGAGAAAAATTTGCAAACAACTGCAAATTTGGCTGTGATCGAAAAATCCATATTTTACGATAGAATTGAACTTTATTAAATTATGTATATTATGCTTTGTAACCTTATAATTTCTTTTCTCTTATTCATCATGAAAAACTGAATAAGAAAACGTTCTTTCGATGCTTTTTCTAACTTTTCAACCGAGATTTTTCCGAAAAAATCAGAGTTGTCCAAAGATCCTGAAACACACATCAATCAATTCAGTTTTTCATGCAGATTTCGTATATTTTCGACCACAGCCAAATTTGCAGTTTTTTTTGCAAATTTTTCTCTCCAAAAGTAATTCCAAACGCTGAAACACATATTCAGAATTAGCTCGACGAATTCTATCTAACCATCTGTAAATTGTTGAGAAAAAAATACTGCTAAAGTTTTGGATTAGGAAGCCTTACTTCACATCAAATGCAAACGCTTGAAGAAATGATTCACATTCGATACAATATTTAACTTTTTAAAATAATTGTTGTGATATGTTATTTCTTAGTGGTGTCTTATTACATTATATTTGCCAAAACACGACCAACAAAAAACGACCGAAGACTTTTTTTGATAAACGAGGCAAAGAATGGGTGTGTTTTTGTCCATTAAGATTTGAGAAATGTGAGCTTGCTTATGCATCGAAGAAGAAAAAAATCATGACATTTAGGTACACGGTGATATAGAGATAACGTCTGTCATGGTAAGCTGGATATAGATAGTTCATTTAATTTGCTGGATCGATTGATGTACTCTCGTTTTTTTCTTTGAAAAAAGTTGTTATTGACAGAGAAGTTTAAAATATTGTCAAACTGTGTTAAGTTAAATAGACTGATATATGACATCAACTTGAGTGGACTTTTTTATTTATCATGATGTGAGTCCCGTTTAACAATATCAAAATGGATAATACACCGTTTGAGCTACCATCGGCAGTGGTAATTCGGCCACGTGCATACAGTCGATCTATTACATACGAGTTAGGATATCTTTCACAACAAATTTAAGCAAAACCAAATTGTGTGATTGAATTTTAAATTGTAAGTAGACTCGTACGAATAGGCCTATTTAGAAGAGTAGAATAGGGCAGATTAACTTTTGGCTTCTAAATAGCTATTAGCGTTTAAGTAGTTTCAGTTACTATCAGATGGCCATTTGCATTCAACAGTTCTCAGACATTCAGCATACAAATGCCAACTGCTTTGTTCACATTTCAGCTATTATGCATGTTTGTTTGACGATGTTGTCTGTTCGATTTGTATGGTATCTAATATGGCACATTTAACTATTGCTGTTGTTTGTTTTCAGAGTGGATAAATACAATTTTTTAACATTGCTGAAAGTATTTTAACAAATTATTATTTTATGTTTTATAGAAAGAAATGTTATCGAGTGACACAACGACTTATCATATGTTTCAAATAAAAAACAGTAAGCTACAATGGAAATGATTTTTCGCTTCCATTTTTTGGTTTGGTTATTTTTCCTTTAAGGAGCATTACCCTAGTGAAAGTACTCATATGATGAGTCGACTTTTACTCATAATTCGTCCATGAGTACTCATATTAGTACTACTATCATTATATATACTCAGTTACTCATGTGAGACTCAGAAAATACTCACCGTTTTATTTTGCTAAACTGAAACTGTTTAAAGAACGTAGAATTTAGTGAAGAAACATAGAATATTTATATTATTATTTCCTCACTGGTCTCTCTGTATATAGTCAGGGATGGACGCGTCTATGACTAGACTGGTAGTCCTAGTCTGACTGCCTGAGATCACTCCTCTATATAAAAATATCAGATGAAAAATACTCATGAGTATTTTGCCAAAAGTTATATGAGTACTCAACAATATCCAAGCGTGAGTACTCAAAGTCGTACCCACAATACTCGTTATTTACTGATGAGTACTCATATGAATACTCAATGAGTTAAAAAATGTGTGAGTACTCGGGACATTTTTCAGCAACTTTGAGTACTCACACATGAGTGTATTCACTAGAGTATATAGCGTTATCAATCGCTTTCTGTGTATTTTGAAAAGATTCCAGTTGCCAGTAGATTTACATCACTCACTGTTTATCGATTTTTAATAAGTGAGAAAAATTCATTTGTATTATTGGACAACTGCTTAGTTATCCAATTAGATTAGTTTCTAAATACTAACGACATGTTTTCTTCTCAGTTAAAACTAAAAATAATTTTGTTTTCGTTGGTTGCACAATTGTTTACACTGACTGTTGTTTTTTTTTAGATTAATGCTTGTACAGCTCAGCATCAGTTGAACCCATATTCTTCGTCAATATCAATGTGACAATCGTATTTGGTAAACCTTTGCTTTATGTAGTTGTCTACCTTTGTTAATGGAATATTCAGTAACGATATATTTTTTATAGCAGTATTATATTTCTTATATTCTCGATATTTTTTCTTGTTCGAAAATAATTGAAATGATGTTATTGTTATTGTTATTTTATTTTTATTTTTATTTTGTAAAAGGATAGCTTGATGCTCATTCTCTTTTATTCTTTCCTTCATAGAGACGAAGACGATAATTTAAGGTGCTATTTTTTCATCTCCTTCTATTGTTGACAGGAATATTGTTGATTTATCGTCATTACTCGTCTGCAATGAGTATGGTGAAACGGCTCCTTCAAGATAAATTCTCACTGGTATATTGAGTTTTGGTACGAGACAATGAAAGAACGCTCTGAAAATCCATGAGCATCCTAAAAGAGTCATTATCCAAAAACAATTTTCCGTAAAATACCACGAACATAGATAATTATCTTCTCCCTCATGTAGAAGACAAAAACCGTTTTGTAATAAAGAATTTTCAGTAAATTGAAAACGAATTGCACGACTAATTTTAGCTAATTGAATGAAGTTTTTGTTAACATCATTTATGTTTTTCGATGCTTTTCTTAATTTATCTTCAATACGATTAAATTCTTGTATCATATCATTATTGATTATTCTGCTATCTTCACCTACCGTAAGAAAGAAAATTCAAAAGAATAAAATAGAAATGAATGGAATGAGAGACAATATTTTACATTTGTCTGTCCGTAAAAATCTGTGTATTTCAACTCCAAACGAGAGAGAAACAAATATTTAGATTAAGAATTTATAATCAGTTTCCTATTATTACCTGCTATAATCACATCGAATGTAATAAATAATTGATATAAACGTGTTTTAACGATTTCAAAAGCGTCAATACTCAGTCGGTAGGTTTTAACTGGGAACAGTGTTTCAGTTAGTTGTACACTTCTATAATAAAATGATTGTAATCGTTCTAGTATTGATATTTCATATATTTTATAATCGATCCATTTTTGTCGAATTATATTATAGTAATTTGTTGCTGTGACTGTGATGTATGCCATTAACTTCGGTGTTGACTTTTGTATTTGTCCTAATTCACATCTGACAACATCGGCATTGATGACACGTTGAAGAAACTGTTGTTCAATACATCCACGTGATTCAAATAACATGAATACATAACATAAAATAATTATTAGCAACATGAAAATACTATAAATAACTTTGCCAACATTGTTAAATTCAGTGGCGTTCAGTAGAATGAGTGTCGATATTAATAATATCCAAAATATGACGTTACATATCAACGACAGGATACGAGCATGACGATTAAAGGATGTTTTACCTAACAGTTTCTGTTTATATTCATTAGAAAGCAATTGTGTTATGGAAATATCGGATTTTGTTGATCTTGTTGCATTATTATTATGAACGATCACACTAATCATTAGAACAAAAAAATGGTAGAAAAAATATTGACACGTAATAAGGTAATGCATTGACATCGCAAAAGAGAAGAGATTATGATGTTTTGAAACGAATACATGATTTATTAACTTTAAACTTAGACTAAATAACTCTTGAACACAAGGTAGATATTTGAGGCTGGTTTTCCGTTTATTAAGCGCCAATCTCAACAAAAAAAATTGATTTAGAAACGAGTTAATCCTATAAAGATCTCGTCCTTGTCGCTTTACAATGACTTTTGTTTAGTGACTCTTTATATTTATATTCAAAAACGCTTTTGTGTCATAGACTATCGCACTCTCTAAAAAACCAAGTCCTAGAATTCGATGGCAAAAAGAAATTCTAGAATTGCAACAAAAGAATTTAATCTTTTTATGAGATAATTGCTGTGAGGTGATCAGTAGAGAAAATTATATGACATATGCCTATACAAATAAAATATTTCTCAAATCAAGATATGATTCGATTTTACTTGTTTTGATACGCTTTCCCAGTCGCTTCTCTCAAGATCTATTGATTGAATTTTTGAAACTAACTTGTACAAATAGTGCTGACAGTGAAACTTTTAGTGTTATGTCATCAAGAATGTTTCATTTGTTTGTTGTTATTCTCAAAAATTGAATGACAGTACCCTATTCAATTGTTCTAATGAACTGACATAGTAATTTATGTATGTCACACAAAGAAATGGTTAGGTCTTAAAGCTATATGTTTTCATTGTAGCATGTATCATCGTTTCCATTATCTCTTAAATGTGCAGTTTCCTGAAGGTAAAGAGCTATTATCAATTTAACATTCTATAGCAAAAACCTATGGGTCTAAATCTATTCAAAACGGTTTTATTCTAGTTTGATGCTTGTTACACTTGAAAGAAACAATTAATATTTCAATTGTCTGATTCTAAATTTGAATATTAACGTTAAATGAGAGATATCAATTAATTTTATTATACGAATTCTTCGTTTGTTGTAGAGCTACGTTTGAAACCGGAAACGATTTAGGTATAATATTCACTCTCTCACATTCTATGCATATATCATTATCGAGAGACGGTTCTTAACAAAAAAAATTCTCGTTCATTAAACACATGTGAGAATATGTAGATGGTTATTAGTTGTATATACTATACGTGATGTTGAAATAGTAATTTTGTTGCTTTTAGGCTAAAAAGGAGTTTATTCATCTATATGTAATGTAGAACGTTGTTAGATTTGTTTTTCGTTTCTCTCTCTCTCATTTTATTCAGATATACCGGATTGTAAACGAAACAAGAATGTTTTTCTCGTACAGAGTTCAATATAGAAGTCAAGGATATACAATTGAACATAAAATATTACAATAGACTTTTCGCTCTATCGATACGTGTATGCATATGTAAATCTCATAATAAACAATAAACTAGGCCCAATTAGATAAATGACAACGACGAAAGCCCATGAACTATAATTAAACGTCGTTTGATCAAATATTAATTGGTAGTGGTAACTGTCTATACAAAAGGCCAAATATAATCCGTGATGAATTTAATTATCTAACAATTTATGTCGTTGTCGATGAAAAAAAAAATGATTAAACTATCCACTCGAAACATGACTTTATACAACGCAATTCATAAAAGAAAAAATAACAGACTTAATTGAAAATATGAACATATACTCAAAAAATTCTCTTTGTTGTTCTCTTCTCATCTAATATTTTAATTTCCTTTATGCATTAATACTCTTTTCCGCAACAGAAGGTAAAACTTACTAAACGATAGATACGTATGTTCATTTATTCAACGCATTTTTCTCAAATAGACAAGGTTAGTTTCTTTACTATTTTTCAAGGTAAATACTTGAAATAATAATAGAAGGTAATGAAAAATTTTTTTATCTATTATTAGCACTTATCCAACTATCACATTAGATAGAGAAGATTTTTTCCCATATAAGATATCGTAATTTTGGCCTATTTCGCTCATCAGAGATCTTTCTAAAACTCGCTTTTGCAAACACATATCTTAAACGTAGTATTAAACGATGAACAAGATCGGCGGCATGTAATCAACGAAAGGATATGTACACGTCTTTTAATTAGTGAAATAATCTATTTAATATATTAAAATGACATGTTCATGTTAATTGTACAGCTTAGATAGACAGAAAAGAACTGCAGTAGACAATTAGCACGTATGAACAAGAAACTAGACATGAATATATTCGTTACATTGATTTATAGAAAGCAAAGATGGCAATTGTCTGCATGTGTATACGAAAAGGGATTAACAAATTAAAAAAAATAATACACTGTGTAAGAATCGAAAGTATAAAGAAAAAAACACACATATCATTTGATCCGGTAAGGGTACCATTACGAGCATATTCTCGACATGTATGAGTATTAAAATAAGATGATAACTTAGAAATTCAACAAAAAAGAAAAAGAGACTCGAATCGGTTTTACAACTAAAAAACAAAGTAGACATAAATTTTAATGTTTTTTTTCAAATATCTTTTGTTACATAGTTTATTACTGACAAAAAGATTTTGTTTATCCAATTGTCGTCATTTTCCAGTCATCCTTTACATAAATGCGCAAAAGAAATAAACTTATGGGTAGTTAACATAAAACAAAATTTTTTTAAACAGATTTCGTTTCTTTCTTAGAAGTACCTTTTTATTGAAGCCATAATGTTTTTTTTCATTAGAACTATGAGACACACGGGGTGTAATATCTGAGTGAAAACAAAAAGTACAAATGGCAGATTGAAAATTGAAGCCTCCTATATTAAAGTTAGTGAAGACTATCGAGATGTATCTGGTGAGAAGATAGGAAGAATAATATTTGGTAATAATTTTGTTGTAAAAGGGTATAAAGATGAAAAATGTTTTTGAATAAGAAATTAATCATAGTTTGTTACTCTTGCGACATAATCTTCTCATAAAACGAACTTTTGCTTTTATTTAAAAAACACATATTTGATTGTGTTTTTCTCATTTAGTCCAGTTTACTGGTTTTCGTCAAAAAACAACCACATTATTTTTAAACTTTTATACAGCTTCCTTATATACGTTCGATTCTTGAAGAAAAATGTCTCAAAATCAAAATTGCATTATATCTGCAGATAGGCAAATAAAAAGAAAAGAAAAACTGAAGAATGAAAAAAAAGTAAAATAATAAATGGTCATGTCTATTTTAAAAAGTTTCTATTTATTCTCTTCAGTCATGCTTACGATCACTAGAAATAGAAATAAAACCGTACGTATTAGAAAACAATTTTAATCACGAACGTCCAGACATCAGCATTTCTAAAATCTAAAACAATCCCCCATTACTGACCTTGTGAAAGCAGAGCAACATGACTGGGAGATTATTTTTTTTTCTATTGCTTTTTTTCTGGGAAATCTTTATGTGGAATGGAATGTGCTTTTTTGTTTTTATCTTGAAAAATTTCAAGTACGAGGAAGAAAAACAAAAAAAGAATAATCATTTTTTGTTTTTTAAAATTTCAATTCTTTATTAAATAGCTCCAAGTTATGTTGTTGTTGTGTTTTTTTTAAACACACTCGGTTGTTTTTTGACAAGGTGAACGAAACAAAAACAGAGGAAAAATAGAAAACGAAGAACTCTGCAATTATTAGTTCCATCGCGTTACGGGATGAAAAAGTAATCAGGTGTTATTATTACTTTTCAATTGTAGAGGTATTTATAGTATAATATAAACGATGTTTTAAAGTGAGAAAAAAAATGAGAAAAAAGTATTCATGAGTAATATCTCTTATAAAAAAATTTTCTTTTTCGCCAATCTGCGAAGCTTTCTTACGAATAAACCTTAGAGATTTCTATTTTATATAAATGATAGCTTTCAAAAACACATAGTTAGAAAATCGGTCATCTAGTCACTCCAACAGTACATTTAACGTTTGTTTGCATGAAAGTATATATATTATAAAGTTTGTTACCTTTGATATTTGAATCTGTCTATCTGTGTTAGTGAATTGTGTTTTTTTTAAGAAGCTTTCAAAAGAAAATTATATGATGCTAATACCCTACACAAAATCCTACGCACTTCTCGTCTATTTCTTACTAGGATCTTACAGGATCCTGACATTTAGAATCCACCTAATAACTTTGTAACAGAATCCTAAACTGCTAGGATTCTACTAGGATTTCGCTTAAGTTTGTTTTAGGATCCTAACAGGATCTTCGAAAATCCTATGAATTTCGGGTATACCTGATTTCATTAGGATTTTGTTAGTAGCCTATTTACTGCCCTGAGAAGTTTTGAGAACAATATCGTAGCATAAGTATACGAAAGTTCACGGTGGATAGAAATTTCTCGTTTGACTTCTAAGATTTATTCAGTTGAAATCAATTTTTATGAACTGTTTGTTGATAAAAACAAGTAGTTATTGTTGCTGTACGTCTTTTTAGTTCAAGTTTTGTATAGAATGTAAACGACACAACTCTCGCGTACAGTTCTTAGTAAGAGAAGAACGAAAGAGAGAAAGAAAAACGACTTTTTTGTTTCGTTGACAAGTGATTTATAAAAGCCATGCATATAATAAACTTTTTTTCCTCTTTTTTTTAGTATATACTGTAATCATAAAAATCGTTAAAGAAATTACTATTTGACAAAGATGAAGAAAGTAAGAAAATGAAGAAAAGAAAAATGTCGTTTGCTGAACAAAAACGTGTTGTTTAATCTGTTTCTTTTCTTTTTTCCATCGTATACTTCAATTATCGTATACGCTTTCTTTGAATCTTTTTTTCTTCTATTTTATTGTTTCATTTATATGATCAATTAAATTTCAACCTGAACTATTCTCTACACATTATTATTATTGTTATTATTTTGATTATATCACCTAATTATTAGAAAATAACCATAATATGTCTCGCGTTGCAACACAACCACGTAATACACTCACTCAAAATGGTATATCCTCACAACAACCAACGTTACCATCTTCATCGTCGTTCACCACAAATTCACGTAACAGCAATGTTACCGTTAAGAGTGCCGCACCACCATTGGCAACAAAAGAAACTGTACATGCGTGTCCATCATGTAACAGTGAATATAAAGATCCTCGCGTTTTGCCTTGTACGCATACATTTTGTTTACAATGTATCAGAGATAAATTAGTTAAAAACAATCGTGTCACATGTCCACGATGTCATTCCGTATTCGCTCCCTTCGATGAACAACAAGCTCTTGATTTACCAAAAAACATGATTTTAAGTCAAGAATGGAAGGCAACAAAACAACTTCCACCACAGAAAAAAAATTCAGGCGTTACCTACGGTTCAAATGCTAGTATAAAACCTACACTAAATAATAACATTACGTCATTGACACCACCATTATCAAATAAATTACAACAAAAAAAACAACATATACCTACATTGCAGCCGACAACGATCCATTATCAACCTGCACTGGATATTACTGTACACGATCGAACATCGGAGACACCATCTCGCACTTCGTCAATAATAGGTAGTGGTGGTATAAAATCCAGAGGACATTCAGTCTCATCTACAACATCTTTGTCGAATGTACGTGACAATGGTGCTCTAATTTCAAATTTACAGAAAATATTTTCAGAGGCAACAGCTAAAAGTACAAATGCAAGACCAAGTGTTAGTAATGAAAAGAATGGTGAATCATTGCGAACATTTAAAGAAACACCTGAAAAGAATCGAATTGATGATCATTATGAAGAAATCGTATGGAATTCACTTGTCAACGGGCCACCGGATGCGCCTCCTCTCCCCGAAAATTGGCAATCATCATCATCACGTAAGCCTACATCACAAAACGCTGAATATGCAACAATATCATCAATTATTAAACCACGCGGTGATGATGATGATGATGATGATGGATATGAAAACCGACACCGAACATATTCAACAGAAAAAAAATCAACAACAAATGCTGTGAATAATTTACAAGAGATTATTGCTTCCATTCAGCGACGAGGTCAAATTTCCTTCACATCATCGCCAACACAACAACGTACATCAAATATAGATTTAAAAAACACTGAATATCGAAATAATAGTCATTCACCTCGCGATTCATATACCGAAATCGAACCAGTGCAAGGTCAACAATTCTTCGATTCACAAATAAGTCGTGACTCAATTGCTACAGCAAGCGATGGACAGATACAAGCCAATCACAATGTTTCTGGTCAGTATAATTTTAACCTTAACAAACAACGTGAATCTGTAAGTAGCCAACGTGACATGCCAGTTAAACGAGCAAGTAGTCGAAATGATAGTACACTCGACGATGATGAAAATTACAATACACCGAGAGGAACGGATCGTTCACCGTCACGCCAAGATAGTTTGCAACAACAACAAGATCACGGTTATTCGATAACTTATGGTAAAAATAGTGAATATCGTACACCATCAAATCGTGCCAGTGTTTCGTCATCATACGCACCCTCAATTCATGGTAATGATCAACACCAAGATCGTCCACTATCAGCTGCTAGTTCCAATCGTCACTCATCAACCTCAAAACGTGACAGTATGCGGTCGGACTTAAAATTTCCGCCACCACCACCGCCACAATTAGAAGATCTTGATTTTGGCAGCAATAAACGCCCATCATCCGCTTCATCTTCAATAGCATCACAACGTTCACGTAATAAATATCGAACAAATCATCTTCAGACAACTGATCGTTTTAATCCAGATATAGATGTGCCACCGCCCATACAACTAGAAAATCTAGAAAGTGGCTCAACAACGCCCACTGAACAACCTACACCACGTCAACAACTTGACAGCGATCGAAACGATTATACGGAAATTATTGATCAAAGACGTATTTCAAATGTATCTGATCGACAACAACAACAACAACATCATCCTCGCCTGACACGATCTCGCACAAACTCAGATGGCGACGGTGATGGTCATTACTTAGCACCGATAGTATCCACGTCTACAGATCTTAATCATTCAACATCTCCCACACACAGCGGTCATAATAACAATCATTCTAATCGAGCATCTTCAACTTCGCTAGTCGCTTCGAATGTAACATCAAAAGTTGAAAATTTACTACATGATCAAAAACGCTTAGAACAAGAAATTGAAGAAACACTAAAACGTTTGACATATGATTATGAAGATATCAAAACACAAATTGAAAAGAAAGAGGTAGCTATACATGCTGAAGTTAAACATATCAGTACACGTTTAGATCAAGACATCACAGAACACTATTATCGTAAACAAAAAATATATTCATCTTTGGCAAATGAAACGCAATCGGTCGGTAATGAATTAAAACGTTTGAAACAAACAGATCAACGTAGTATCCAACAATTGATAACTGGAAATAAATTATGGGATAATTTAGAACAATTAGAACAGAATATTCGACAAATAAGAAATGCGGTTGAAAATGAAAAAGAACCACGTACAGCGCTCAAATTTCAAGAAGGTAGACGAGCATTAACAGCAGACACCATTGGACAAATCACGTGTAATGATGACCAACAACAACGGAATAGACGACAGACATCCTCTTATGATGATTCAGATGACAGACATAATCGAATTCAACAATTATTCAATCCATCGGTACAATCACAACTGCCAGGCGATACAACAACAGCGTTGACACCATATAAATACATCAAGATCGATCATTTGAGTAGTTTAGAACCGGAAGCTATTGCAATAGCTGACCATAGTAATAAAATATTATTAGGTATTTGTAATAAATTATTCATCTTAAATGAATATGGTGAAATATTAAAAACGATACCACTGGCACCGTCTATTCGAGGCATAGCAATATCAAAAAAGCAATCAACAAATAACATTGCCTATATTTCACATGATGAAACAGTATCAATGATTGATATTCAAACTGGCAATATAATCGATTGTGTTAAAGGTTTGTAGTTTTCTCACCAATTCTCTACTGACTATTCCACGTTACATAATTAAACTATGATAAACTACATTTTAATTCAACTATTATTGTTTAAAAATCCTAATTTTCGAAAAGTTCGGATTTTTATATTAAGTTTTTATTTCTGATGTTTAGAAACTGATGCCCATGGTCAATCGGGAACATTTCTTCCATTGGGTATCGATACGGATAATATTAATGGTCATGTGTACGTCTGCGACTATCGCAATTCATGTGTTATTAAATTTGATGATAAATTAGAATTTATAACACAATGGCGTATATTTAATCATTCTGATAATTATGATGAAGCTCGTCCAAAATTAATATCCGTTTATGGAACTAAATTATATATGATTGTTGAACATTCATGTAAACCCTATTATGTAAGTATTACTTTACTAATAAAACTTTATTATTTTGTTTTTTTCTATTAAACTTCAAGGACATATTGTTCGATTTTATATTATTTGTTTTCTAGAATCAAGGTATTGCCTATACATTTTCGTTGCATATATGTGACAATCAAAGTGGTCATATAATAAAAATAATTGATGAACAATTATTATTAACACAGCGTTTACGTTGGCCATGTAGTGTTCAAGCCATTAATGATGAAAAATGTTATATCTTAGATACAATGACAAGTGGAAAATATTTCAATGGTCAATGGCAAAAACATTGGTCACGTGTTTTAGAAATACAATCACAAGGACAACAAATAATTGAATTATTTCAATTAGATAGTGAAGCAGCAACAATGGCAATGTCTAAACAAACAATGATTATTGCTGCAAATGCTGAAATTTTATACGTTGATTTACAATTTATGTCTAATATCAATAGTCGTGATAAACGATCAAATTCAACATCACCAGCAAAACCTCATACAACATCTTCATCATCGACGACAACAATGCCTAGAGCTAGTAAAACAGCAGGAATTGAAAACGATTCACCAAGATATACAAATATGACAGCAACAAATGATTATAACGGCAGAGGAGGAGAACATAATCACGATTATCAAAATTTATAATGTTCATTTGTTTTATTTTTATTTTCGTATAAAAAAAAATATATTATTCACTAATCTATTTTCTCTCACTCTCTCTATTGCCGTTGTCAATTTAATCTCTCTTGTTTTTTTCTTAAGGGGTGCTATTTATTAATTTATAATAGTGTGTATGTTTTGCGAACATCCATTGTACTCAGGATTAGTGAAAAAATATACGTGATTGTTGTGAAACAAATTTTAAATGTCTTTTTGTTTTTGTTTTTGTTTTGTTTTTAAATTTGTTTTATACATTCCACTTTATGCGTATGTATGTATGTGTGTATGTATGTGTACGCTTGATGGGTTTTATTTAGAATGAAAAACAAACCAGAAAGAAACGTGCTCATTTTTTCTAACTACTAGCTTAAAAAAAAAGTCTACTACAATTATCATTTTATTTTTTTATTCGTTTCAATAGAAACAAAAATGATTGATTTTGGTAATTGAGCCTAAAGGATTATGAAATTGAAGCGGTACTTTAAGAAAATACTCTTTTAACCAGTCTGAGATTATTTAGAGAAAATTTTGGTTGCCATTTTTTTCTTTTTATGAACAAAATAGACTTATATTATTTCAACAAACAGGATGCGTGGTGATTGTTTGAAATTAAATAGATTTTGATTTATTATCATTCTTTTTTTCGTGTATAGAATTCTGTTTTCGACTTTTTTGTTTGCTGTGTACATCTTTTAAATTGCAGTTTATTATACCAAGAAAATGTCTAAAATACTGTTTTCTTTCCTTCTCAGTTTTGTTGTTTGAGACGATCTTTTGCAAATATTCTCTTTGTACCGGTATACTGAAAAATCATCAATTGTTAAATGTCCAACGTGCACAAACATCTTGTTTTTCTTTGCATACAACAGTAATGTTTTATTATTTATCGTAATTTGAAAGATTGTTGCATTTTTGTTTCTTATTGTGAAAAATACATTTTTATCCTTGTCAACTTTTTTTCGTGCTCCAGCAAATATTTGTTTAACGAACTGTGTCATACAGCATAATAAATTTAAATTATTCTACTTTTCAATTTGATAACCAACTTAGATCATAGTGACTTTACAATTGCAATTTAATCTCTTTTGATGCTAGTCAAATTTGACCGATACAGTCGTCACTAACCTGGATATGCTCGCAGAAGTTGTACTTTCAAAAAGCATTACTTTAATTATATTGTGTAGTTTTGTCCATGCTAATGCTTGAGTCATAGAGGAAGTGTAGGACTAGAGCCCTAAAATCTGTACCATACGCTACCATCACCATATTTTAAAGTCGATTTTTGTCTTCGTCGCTCTAGAGTTTTCCAAGGTTCTCACTCAGTTCAGGTTCTAGAGAGCTCAGGATGGTTTCATTTTGTAGAGAAATGTTGGCGTCTTGATGATACAGAGTCGGATTCCTAAGTTTCGTTTCGAAAGATAAGGACAACTTAGGATCTCCGAAAAATTTAAAAGAAGCTTTTAGGAGTTTTGAAAATTTTCGTCAAGAGCCGAAAATTTGGTCTAGATTGGACTTGCAGTTAACGAAATAAATTTCTGACAAGGAAAATTTCTGCAAGTGTGCAGAGTGCCCTTACTCTAGGGACCAAGTCTCAACAAACAACTACCCTGCATATCTCTAAAGAACAACCTCACCCTAACACCCCTATACTTGTAAACAGGAAGAACATAGACTTTGAAAACACGAAGAAAACGAATAGAGGGAGAATTATGTTTCGACAGCTGTTTCCTCTAAATGATGTTTTCAGGATAAATTCTGAGACAGATGTATGTCGAGGAGTTTCACTGACACATTACTGTTTAAATGTTTCAATATGACGTTGCTTTAGTGTTCAAATTGGAAAAGATAAGACGAATCCAGTGATATTTGACCCACTGAAGAGCACAGGAGTTCTCTCATATTACAAGAAAGAATTTCATTCATACTATCCTAGCTTGAGAGAGGTTTGTGGCGTCATAAAATGTTGTCTACAATTTCCTGAGGATAATTTTGAGGTTGATTTTAAATATGCTATTCGTATTCAGATAAATATGTTTGGAAAGAATGGATAAAGATTTTACATAAAAAATCTTAGACTGGAGAAAATCCACTATAGAATAAAAGAATATATATGTAAAGTTTAAAATAGATTAAAAGCTGAAGATATATCGAAAACTCATCACGTTGGTAACTATTATCCTTCTCTGAAAACGATGCGGCTTGGCAGAATCCTTGTCGCATTTGAACGAAAAGTGATAGAGACATGCGGTTTTCACCGTTGGATAGAGAACATCGGGAGACGTAAGCGCATGCAAAAACTAGGCTTCTAGGTAAGGTTTACCATGGTAAGCCTTTCGATGCAAAGTCGACGAGACTGCCGTTCCTGGACCGTACGACAGATTTTGATTTTCAAACAGTGCAGTCGAACCGAGGTTTATAATTCTAGACCAGTCTTAACTCTCTATCTCTTACGATTCAGGCTCTATAAGCATTTTACCAAGAGCCCAGTTTCGGCCAGTTAACGTTGGGCGATCCTAAAGTGGATCAAGATAGGGGTACTCGGCCACGTTTAGTCGAGTGGTGATGTTTACTTTTCGTTTCAAACGGACCTAAAGTCACTATATCAAGATTTCAAATTAAAACATTCTACCTCTATGTTGCGTATAGAGCGGGTATTTCCAAAATCTTGATATAGTGACTTCAGGTCCGTTTGAAACTAGAAATAAACATCATCACTCGACTAAGTGTGGCCGATTATCCGCGCTTACGTTCCCCGATGTTTTCTATTCAACGGTGAAAACCGCATGTCTCTATCACTTTTCGTTCAAATGTGATAAGCGTTCTGCCGAGCCGCCTCGTTTCCAGAAAAGAATAATAGGCCCTTAGAAAATTTGTTAGTGTGAAAGAACAACTTTTTTTCCTTATACATGCGTATTACTAAATTCTTTTGTTTTGCCTATTCCGTACCATTTCAATGCTAACAGTAAAATTCTATTTGTAGAAAAGATAGTTGACAGTTCGAAATATAGTATTCTGTAAGAGAACAATTAAAAACATCGATTTCATCTCTTCATAAAAAAAACTATATAAGTTTGCAAAATCGTTTATGAACTTTTTACAAGGGATCCAAGGCGTCGATACTGAATAGACCTTTGACTTCAACCTCGGTCAAGCATCATCTTCATCCTCACTTTTTAATTCTGAACCTGAGAAAGGCATAAAAAAAAATGAGAAGAACGGAAAGAAAAACCTTTGAATTTGTTCAAACATTAAAACACATATCTTCTTCTCCAGATCGGCAAGCTCTATCCAACAATATATAAAAAATGCAAAAAATAAAAACCTTCTGAATTTTCGAATTTCCAGCACTTTATTTTTTAATTTTATTTTTATACAATATAAGAGCTTATATCTCATATCGGTCATATCTCTAGATATTAGGGTTTTTGTAAAGATGATGATAATACATAGTTATAACATAATTATGATATCTCTTCCTTCAAGATCCATTCGATTCTTTTTCTGCTCTTCGGAATCGAGCGACCAACCAAAACAAATCAATATAATCACTAAATGATATCTATACTGAAATCTATTATATGATTCAGGCCATGGAAAACCAAAGTAACGTATTCTAATGTATTGTTTTTAGGATTTATTTAACTGGCACATTTTTGATTTTAGAGTCTGTTTTCATCGCTTACTTTTTTAGTTTTATTTGACTATCACACTGTTAAACATGCCTGTTACATGCAAGCGAAGCAGCATCATTAGCATACATAATGTTGACGCAGTGGTGTGCCATCTATGTTTGACTTATAGTTATTATTTACAGCTGTTTTTTTTATTTTTTATTGAGATATTCAATGAACTTTTTCATAGATTTTCGATATGATATGTTTCTCAATTTATCATCGTGTTTTTCTACTTTCGGTTACATTATATATACTATATGGAGACTATTTTTATTTTAACTAGATAAACTATTGAATTTGAAGAGATCATACACAATATACTGCTACTAAAGTTTGACAGTTTAGAAGATGGTTAGTTGTATATATTTCTACTCTTAGTGCAAATTCATAATCAAAAAATCATTGATATACAAGACGCAGTAATGCATTATAATACTTTTGTGTTTCTACATTGATTGACTTTCTGTTTATAATAATTGTGCAGCTGTAAAATTTCTATTGTCAGATATTATAAACAACTGAGAATAATATATTATCAAAAAAAGATATAGCAAAATAGTGTTTTCTTGAGCGTATAGGAGAGTATGTACCTTCCATTGATCTTTACCGTTTTTGTTTTAAACATTTTAATCATGAAAATTGTACCTGAAAGTTATATATGTCGTCTAAATAATACGGAAGTCATAGTTTATAACGTACCAATGTTTGTCAAACGAAATACAGAGTATATCAGTAAGTATATCTACCCAGTAAGTTTATCGTATATGAAGTTATATAAATCCTTCTGTGACTTTTGCTCAAATAAACAAGACTACAAACTGAACTTAGTTAAGTCAGAATCTAACCTTATCTACTGTATTTTGATGACTGTTGATTGAAGTTTCTGATAAGTTACAAAGCTAATACTATATCAATGTTCATATGGTGTTTTCTAGTTACAATAGCTTTACAAACAGTGCCATATGAATTGAATCTTAGCGTTTTCCCCGACAATAATATTAATATTTCTACTGATTGTCTAAATCAATCAAACCATGAAACAGAAGTGTATATGGAACAAACAAATTTCGTTTTCAAATCTAATAATGAGACGTTTGGTAACTGTCTCTGGTTACGGTACATAAAACAAGCCGTTATCATGAAATACTAGAGTTGAATTTTGTTTTTAGAATGTCAATTCAACTTAAAGAAGATAAACCATTTACTTTATTTGACATAACTCAAATTTGTTTGAAAAGTGGTGAGAAGTATAACGGAGTAATGAGAGAGACTTAGAACTATTAATTTTTTTTAGACTTAGAATCAGGAATCGAAGATACTGAAGATAAATATGATGTTCAATGGTTTATGCGTACAATCAATTCAACAGATGTTGCTTTTAGAGAAAATTTTAATTGGCTAGTATTTTCTTCAAGTATTCTGAAAATATGGTAAGAAAGTTTTCTTAGGGTATTTATAAAATACGTTAACATCCACTAACACCCAAAACATACACGAGCCCAAAACATTCCACTCTTAACGTAGAATTATATTTATGCTTACTAAATTATCAAATTTGATGCTAATATCTTTGTTGGCGCTACTGGCGTTATTAAGTATCCATCTGAATAGTGTTCAATATTATTGTAATCAGTCAGATGAACTTCATCTATTGAGTGTATTAGATTATTAATTCGGGTCTGTTCGTAGATGTTCGCACATTCTACAAATAGTGGTTTCGGTTTCTCTGTTAGAACATTCAATACTGTAACAGCTTGTGATCCTATATTATTCATAGGGAGTCACACGAAGGAATGCGTCTGAGTCGTGAATGTGATACGGCTGAAGATGGTCGAATTGCCATATTTAGTAAACCCCGTGGAAAACGAAAACTGGTATGTTTAGTAAAACGAAGACATTTAAGAAATTGATTTTTGTTCGAATATTCAGATATCTAGACCAATAGATATTAGAAACTTATCATCCGTCCATTTTCGTATTGGAAGTGGAAATTGTCCTATATCACCGTCAGATCCATTAGTAAAGATTTATCTATCTGCTGATGAAAACTGCACAGAGTGGCTTGTTATATATTCAACAAAGTGAGTAAATAGTATTGAACGTAAGTTAATAAAGTTTATCGATCTCTCTTAATCAAGGATATTTCCTGGTGTCGAACATGTGACAATAACTGCTGAAACAATCATGTTACAAACAAGTTTAAACATGACACATGCTTGTATCAAAATCGAACAATTAGGATCAAAATTTTCTGGTTGGTGGTTTATTGATGATCTGTTATTTCTCCGCCAAAATATGAGAAAATTGACCGTGTTGCAAGAGACATTTAATTTAATGAAGACATCGAACTGGTTCCATCTACCCGGTGCCAAACTAGAGGTAATATCGCACGAACGATTTTATATTGTATCACAAATGTTATCAATTTTCAGATATGTGATAAACAACTTGGTCTGGTATTTGAGGCCAACAACAAGATTAAAACTGAATCAGGCGCAACAACTATCGACATGTCTTTGACAACGGACTATAGTGCAGACGCTATTCTGTATTTGTCAAAAGAGATAAAAACCGATTTAGAAATGTAATATTATTCTGTTCAGATACTTGTTGCTAAATATAAGCAATGATTTTCCATTTCTACAGGTGGAATTATACTGGCAACAATGAAAATCAAACATGCTCTCAAAATGATGTTGTGGCATTTAACCAAGAAACTTTTCGTCAGCTATGCACACCACTTCTTGATTTAGGTCATATTGACAACATTCGATTTACACTGTCTGCAGGTTTTTGTTAGCATGATGATTATTTTAGTACTTTCTTGATGTTGCTTGGCGTTTTAGATTTGTGTAGCAAACGATCAAAATATTCACCAACCACAGAAGCAGTTATTTTTCTGTCCGTTGTATATAACTCAAGTGATCATTATTCTCGCACAATCAAACGAATATTATTGAAAGACGTGCAGGTATGCTAAACGGCTAGTTTTTGAAAATAGTTAATATTTAACTTTTTTAATCCATCACAGCAAATGAAAACATTTCATGTTCGAGTGAATGAGATTGCCACCGTAGAAAATCGTTATGGTCGATTTTGTTTGAGTCAATATCAATCATCTATGAAAAATATCGATGTATGGGGTATTCAATCAATCATTTTACTGCCACTATTTCAGAAAAATATAACACATTACGTTCAATTTGATTTAAACACTCATTGCAATTCTACAAATTTATTGGCTGAAAGGTAACCACAATTTATCTGCTTTCTACTTAAACTACTAAATATGATTATGAATAGCGTGATGGTCGATTTTTCTCTGAATTACGGAAAATCATGGCAACGTTTATTAAAACCATGTTTGCTAGACAACTGTTTGGGTCCTGAGCATAGTTACAGTTCAAGTATTAATTTACAATTACGGTTCGTATTTATCATAAACAGGAATGTCTGTTAAAGTCTTTCTTTTGTTAGTAATTGGCAACGTATTACACTACCTATTCCAATTGCGGCTTTGCAAGATAGAGTTCGTTTTCGAATCTATACTAATCCAAATTTACCAGAATCTGGTGTATGGGCAATAGATAATGGTATAAATGATTACAATTTATACCTGTATGACTGATTTAACGTTAGAATATCAGTGTATTTTAGTTTATATTGGATCTTGCTATCGTGGATGCAGTGGAAGAGGACGCTGTTCTATTGAGTCATGCATGTGAGTATTGCTAGTATCAGTTAATAATATAGAAAAAAATGTTCGGCTATGTGTACTAAGTTAATATTTTTTAGATGTGATGATGGATATTATGGGCGTTTTTGTGAAAAAACAAATAAAACGTTGCCGAACAAAATAGTCGTTTCAGAAAATGTTAAATATTCACCCGATACTGTGATTATAAAAGGTGGAAAGGGAATAGGTCACACTACATGTATAAAGCATTTAAGTTTTGATATATATTTATAGGAGGGAAATTTACTTATAAGTGCGGCATCTTGTCTCAAGGAAAAGCTCTCGTGTTTTCAAAACCTGGTCAGCGACTTTTGAGGGTATACAATGTTAATGGAACCACACCAAAGTAAGTATGGTGAACAACATCTAATGGATGGATCGTATAGTTAGAGACATTTTTATTTTTTTGATTCTTCGATACAAGTATGAAGTTCGAAGATTCTGTTCCATAAACACAAGAAAATTTCCTACTCTATGAATGTCCAGTGCATTCGGGACTATGTTTTCAGATAGAATCCTCCCAACCACTTTTTCGAGGGGTATTTCGAGTACTCGAAAAAATGCTTTCGATGGGCCCTGGTTAAGGGCTCAACCCCTCAACGGAAGCGATCGAGAGGTTGTCAATTTCGAAGCCTCAGGTTTCAGATAGGTAGTGAGCTCGCTATCTATCTGAAACCCGAGGTCTCGAGATCGATAACCCCTCTACCGCTTCTATCGAAGACTCATTTTCGAGCCGTCATCGTCTGCATCGCTACTATACCGTTGCTTTTGGTCAAATTTCAGCGAAAACTGACTCCGCTTAGAATCACAGGTGGTCTCTTCTTTTTTTACTACTGAGGTGCACCGTCTGAAACTTCGAATTTTTCGAGCTCTCATGTCTAGGTGGATAGTCTATGGTTTTTACTACAAGTTGAGTGAAACTGCATTTTTTTATCACTTGTCGTTCTCGACTTATTCAACAAATAACTATGTACACTCCATTTTGAAATAGATAGTGGTAATAAAATGTAAGGAAAAATTTGTTTTTTATCATTTGTCTTTATTGCTAATGAAGACGAATGTTTTACTCAACGCATCTGTGATGCATGGTACACAGAACATTTTGAAAAATAATCAATTCGATGAAATAGCAGAAAAAAAAAGTAACAGCTTCTTCGATCATATTAAGTGCTTACCTCTCCTGGTTTTGCGTTAGTTTTCCAAATAATATAATAATGTGTGAAGATCGGATAGAGAGGCTTTTGTAGAAAAATCAATTTTCTATTGTATAAGCCTACAATGGAGTCATCAGACTTTACTCCGGTATTTGAGGAACAAGAGATAAAAATGTTCCGTTTCCTCTAGTCTACTCATTATTCAGTTAAAAATGTCGTTTCTGTATGTTTAGATTGCTCGAGTTTACATTACGATTAGGCAGTACTAGTCTACATTGTTATTATCCATCTGATGACACAAAATCAATTATTCTACTATATTCATGTAGTAATGGTGTTCACTGGGAAATCATTGATCTATTTCGTATTTCGAATATATTAGCACCCGATTTTGGGTAATTTCTTATCTATCTGTTTAGAAAAATATATTCAACATGACATTATTTAGAACAATAACAAGAATTTTACCAAACCTTGCTGATGATGGAGAAGATTGTCAAATAAAATTTCGACAACTATATCATGCTGGAGAAGATCAAGATGTATGGGCAATTGATGACATCAGTATTAGTGATCTTCAAGATTTGAATGTATCAGTCGTAATTTTAAATGTGTATGTATATGATTTACATTACTATCGATTTTACAGATTTAGCATTTGTCATCTGCAGGACGTCACATGTCAGTGAAACACTAATTAAACCCGGATATGCTTTGACATTTATAATTGATGGCAATTATACAATACGTAATCTTTCAATGGTGAGATGTATGAGATACAGTACAAGATTTAAAATAGCAAAATTTAAATGTTTTTAATAATAGATAAATATTCAATATAACCTCAAAAGAAATAATAACACAATTGAGCATTCTTCTTCATTAATCATTGATCGTGACTCCAATTTAATCATGTATAAATTAACAAATACAACATATGTATTTCTTTATACGTTTCCAGAACATTTTTGGTAATACAAAGTTTTATAATTTGAAGAATTGTTTTTCGTAACCTTAAACTTATTTTAGGCACGCTATTATTGATCTAAATGTAACAAGTATCATATACAATTTATCAACAATTTTTATAGGACCAAGATGTCAAAAGAATTGTTTGTTGCAAGGTGTCTGTATGAAAGGAGTTTGCAAGTAAAATAAAATAAATTTATTTCTAATAATTATCTATGTACATCATACATTTTTGATAGCTGTAAATCTAAAAAATCTTCAAACAATAATTGTGATGGATCATTCAACTATGATATTTCATTATCAGTTAATGAAATAGATATTGAAAGATTCAAACTTAATTCAGTAAGTCAATAATTTGTTGCTTCTGACAATATATCATTTGGTTTGAATTTAGTTGGATAATGAACTATTAATACCATTGATTAATTCAACAGATGTCTCGGGAGTACATTTTCAAGCCATGTTTCCCAATAACGATACTAGTGAAATGATGATGTTAGAATGCTCATCGATCGGAGGAATAAAATGGTTAAACATTGGGGAATTCATGTTGAACAATTTGACAAAGTAAAATAAAAGAATAATCAAAACATAATCAAAACTAACGCTTTATTATAGTCATTTTTTTAGTGATTATTATGTCATTTTACCAGAATTTTGTAAAGATAAACGCACATTATTTCGATGGAAAATGATAACGAGTAATGCATCTGTTTTTCGAATGTTAAATATTGCATTCTCGACTAATCAAATACGACATCATATTAGCGATAGATTTAAGGTAAACAGGAGATATATGAAATATTTAAATATCAAAAATTGATGTGTGTTTTAGAATGTAAATAGTTTCAAATGGCTTTATGATACATATGAAGTTAAAACTTGTCCACAAGAATCAAATAGTACTTGTGCTTTTATTCAAAAAACAGCTAATTCAATATATAGATTAACTTCAACAGTTATTACGTTAAAAGATGAAAGTATTTTTACTTTTGAGGTTAGTACTTCTACTATGTCGACTAGTAAAATTGCAAACATTTTTTCTCATAATAGCGTGTGTCATATAAAACCAATGATATAATATCAGTAGATTATACATTGGACAATGTGACATGGATTTCATTAGACCAAGAATGTGATGATCACTATCATGAATACTGTGATAACAGCAAAACTACCAATAAAAATCGATTTGCTTATAAAATTCCAACTAGTCTTCTCAGCCGGTATCATTATAGAATTGGCAAAAAAGTAATTTCTTGCAGTATGATCATTTATTTAGATCAGTCAGCTTTCGTATTGAAAGCAGAAAAACATTTACATTAAAAAGTGTTTACATTGGAACGCCATGCTTCGCAAATTGTTATGGTCATGGTATTTGTCAGTGGGAAAATAATCAGCCAGTCTGTTATTGTGATTCACTAAACAACACAGGTAAAAAAAAGTATTACAGTTCTATTCAAATTAAGAGACCGATGATCATTTCTTGAATGACGTTCGATGTCAAAGACAATAGCGCCTCTGATACCCTTTTTCCGACGCAAACTTGTTAGGAGATCTTTGATAGATCAATTCAGAATGTCAAAATTAGAAAGATAAATATATTGTTTTTTTCAGTGGATACGTAGCTCGAAGAATTTCAAAACTTAGAAAATATAAACAGATTCTTTTTATATTTAGTTTTCACATCTACTTAAAAAAACACAATATATTTCTTCTTCTAAATTTGAAAATCTGAATTGATCTCCCAAATATCTTCTAATAAATCTGTTTCAGTAAAAGGATATAAGATGCGCTCTTGTCTTAGATATTCTTTCTCTATCAAAAGTCATTCAGAAAATGGTTACCGATCTTTTAATTTAGAAAGAGATAATAATTAATATTCTTCACAAATATTACTTATCACATTGTAGATTTAAATTGTTTACCAACTAACGTATTATTATCATCGATGTTTGAAACATTTTCTGGAGATTTGAAGACTTCAATTTGGCGTGTTGTTAATGGACAAGCAACAACACGTTGTCATAATCGTCGTAGTACATCAACACCATATCTGTGCTTTTCAACTGGTACTACTAAATTTGCTATTGTTGGTCCGTTTGCAACGATTAAGTGAGCATAATTGAAAGATAGTTTCAAGAATACTAAACAATGTTTGATTATAGATATGTATCATTTAAATTAGGAATGGTGAATATAACAAATGATTGTTTAAATGTAGTTTTATTTCAATATAGTTATGATAATGGTATATTATGGAATACAATAAAAATGTTTGATAAAAGTGATTCTGTAATTCAATTCTTTTCATATTTGAAAATTAATAATAATATGTATCTACGTTGGATTGAAACACAAGACTCGAATGGTTTGGAGAGTGAAATTATTTTGCTAAGCTAAATAAATTGACTTTTTTGTTAATAGATCATATGTGTCTGATATGGAATTTACGCGGTTTAATAATACGTACTAAAGAAGAGAATCCACTCGATGATATTTGGTTTCAAAATAATTTAATTAATGTTCAAAATATAACGAATGCTACACAAAGTAAGAAAATTTTGTTAATTGAAATAATTTAATAAATAGAAATATAATGGATTATAGAAATTAATTATGAAGCACAAACATGGGAATATTATATTAATCCTGATTCAATTTTACAATTTGATCTTGTAATGTCTGAATATTTCGATGTAAAAACAAATACTAGTATCGATTGGCATATCACTGTTGATGTTAATTTTGAGGCAAATCGACAATGGATACCTTTGATACCATCATGTAATATGTCAACTAATTTATGCGATGAAACAGTATGGGAAAGTGGTTCAACACTCTTATCCTCATTTTACACTAAACAAATACGAAGAGTAATTTTACCAATACCAGATAATTATTAGTACGTCATTGAATCATTCTTTTATGATATATTTAAGTTGTTATTAGAATGTTTATGATCTTTCTTTTAAAGTTATCAAGAGGTTCGTTTTCGATGGTCGTCAAATCGAGTTGGCTTTGCATTTGCTTTGAACAATGTCTTTATTGGTTCAAAATGTATGTGGTATTGCTCAGGACATGGCACATGTACTCAAGATAGTTGTCAGTGAGTGATTGAGTATATATATATATTCTCAAGAATATATAATAATTTTATACGAAAATAATTTGTTTTTCTAGATGTGATCCAGGTTATGTACTGCCATTTTGTTCGCTTGATATATCCGTAATAAATAAAGAATTGATTTTAAATGAAAATATCTTGTTTTGGGATAAAATATGGGGATTTGAAATGCAGAAATGTGCAAACGTGGAAAAACGAGTATTTATGAAGGTTTGAGATTGACATGTAATTTAGAAAAATTTTTACTTTTATTAGTTTTTTTGTTGAAAGAGTGAATATCGAGGATTGATGAGTAAAGAGTTATCTTTCGTTGATATTCAAGCTGTACGTATTCAACTTGACTATTATTGTGATAACAATAGTAATTCAATAGATGAGTTCACGGATTTCATTCGTGTGCAAGTGTCGACAAGTAACGGTGTAGTTTGGGAATTATTATCTAACATTGGACAACAGACAAATAAAGTATGGATAGTTGATATACCAGAAGAATTTCGTTTGGATTCTATTCGTATTCGATTATTTCAAAATGTTCAAAAAAGTAAATATTATAATTATTTTTTATTAAACAATTATACGCCCTTACACTTTTCAGAATGGAGTTCAAGTTGGATTTTAGAAAAATTTGAATTAATACCGAAAGAAATGCCATCAATCTGGAATATGACAAATATTAACTTCCAAACGAATACATTTTGTAAACAGCATTTGAATAATGATACAAAATATAGGTTTGTGTATAGTTATTCAACGACACTGCTAAATGTTCCCTATTTTTCTTTCTAGGTATCATTCTTCTGAAAACATTGAGATATACTCCACAATTGATATCAAATTGACTAATTATACTGTGGTATCATTTCAGGTAGACTCTCTGCTTGATTACGATAGTTATTAACTTTTTTATTAAAAAGTATTTTGTTTACTTAGATAGAAAACATGTGTAATAGAAGCTCACTGCGTAAGACATTACCAATTTTATTAGAATATTCTATTGACTACGGTTTAAATTGGATATTAATTGAACGACGAGCTACCAAACGCCATGATCTCTATGTCATTCAACCATTACAATCAATCTTAAACACTTTTTATGTGCCATTGTATCAGTATCGACATATTGCAAAGTAATCTTTGATTGTATTTCCATCAAGGCTATTTTTTCAACTTTTTATTTAAGTTTTTTACGAGTTCGTTGGATTTCAAATATGTTCGAAGATATGTGGAATTTAAAAGAGATTTATATTAGAAATGAATGTGAAATGTTGTGCGAAATCTTAAAACAGTTAAAAATATGTGAATTAAATGAATGTCAATGCAAAAATTGTTCACAGTCTGAAGTTACAAATTTTCCTACAACTTTATTGGAAACATTTGATGATGGTCAGTTTACAATAACAACAAGAAATTCTATAATCTTTATAGAAATCTCTCATTCTTTTAGATGAAAGTCAGTTATTAGATTATGAGATGAATTTGATAACAGATTATTGTCTAGTTTATAATGGAAAAAGTTATCATTTCAATAGTTTTGTGCAACAATCATTAATATTGAAACCGTTGAATCTTCTATCAGTGCGGTAATAAATGATTCTTATATAAATATTAGAAAAAAAATCTGTTATTATTTGTTCTAGATGCATCGAATTCCACATAAGAATTGGTTGTACAAAAACAAAAAACTCTTTAAAACGTGCACCATCTGTATCGTTACGATATTCGTTAAATTTTGGAATAACGTGGAAAATCTTTGAAACATTTACGTGGGAATCAATGGGAACCTTCTATGTTCACAAAGAGTTAACAGATGATATTCGTAAAAATGGTGTCCTAATTCAATTTGTTCAACATTCGAATCTATCAGCAACCGTCGACTGGGCATTAGATCAGGTAAACAGCCTTTTACCTTGAATATATTGAATTGTAGAAGGTTAATTCATGTTAAGATAATTATTGGTGGTTCAGTCGATTTACAACATTCACTCTATACAAATTTTGGTATGGCATCACATTCTTTCACTCATATACTTTCAATTGTGGGAAGACAAGTTACAGTAGATCGTACATTTATCGTTTTTGATATCGGTTAGTGTCACTAAAATAAATTTCTTATCTAATCTTCTCTTCCTTCTTCGAAGGTAAAATATTATTGAATGAAATAATAACAGATGATATTAGCATTGGATCAGATATCTACATTCAACTAAACATGATTAGTTTGACTAATAATTGTTGTCTTGGTATAGATGATATAAATGAAATATATATGTATATGTATCATTTAGCTTTTCTTTGTAGAATTTTTGTTCTCTTATTCTGAAGATTTTGGTTACACATGGAATGCTATTGATGATGAGAATTTCAGAGAACTTACCCATTTATTAATTGAAATAGTAAACAAATCATATGTATTAACATGGTCAATTCCAACAACAATTCGGTATATTCAATGTAAAAATAGAGCTAACTACTATTTTGACTAAAATTTTGTGTTTACTTCAGATCAAATCATATTAGATTTCGTATTCAACTCAATACCTCATGTACTAATGGTAAAATTGGCATTCGAGAGTTATATATCGGCGATGAATGTAAAAATGCGTGTAATGGTCATGGAATGTGTTCGAATGGATCATGCAGGTGTGTCATTTACTAATTAACAAAGCTCTTTTTTATCATTTTAACTTTAAAACTGGCATCTTCTTATTTTCAAAGATGTGAATCTGGTTGGACGAATGCTGATTGTAGTTTATCTCTTGCGGGTTTCCCAAATGAATTAGATATTCTTAATACTGAGTATTACACGACAACAGGTGCATTAAAAGGCAATAAATGTAATGTTTCACATAGTTTTATTTTTATAGAGGTAAGGTGTAAATACATCAGTTTCTATTTTTATCCGATTGGATTTTTTCTCATGCTGACAGTCGATCAATTATGGATTTATTTTCAGAAATGTCAACGTTTATTTGAAACGAACTATATCGACATTACTGATGTGAGAACTTTTTTAAGTTTGAGAGTGATCTATACTCATTCATCGTCATGTTTATTATCAGTGCCAACTAAAATCAATTACACTAACACTTTCAATGAATGGATATCTGTTCAATATAAAGAACATAATTCGCTTTATTGGAAAACATTATATAAGCTTAAACGGCTAGAAAATAGGTATATATATATATGTTGTATTATCCGTACGTGATTGTAATTTCATTTTTTTCCAGCAACAAACGATTATTACTATCGCTACCAACGTATCTGCTTCAGCTGCGTGTAACTCAAGATCCCATTCCTGGTTCATTATTATCAACACCATGGTCTATCGAAGAATTCAATGTATTTCATATTCATAAAGAACTTCGTTGGTCTTCACAAATGAATGATAATTGGAATACAACATTTTTAGATGGTATTCATATTGAACGTGGAACATTTTGTCATATTCCTTATGTTTTTTTGATTAATTGTAATCATTCAATGTTAATAACAAAAGATGTTTATTATTCAAGAGATTATATTCTTCAACTAGAAATAGCAAATGGTTGTGGAAATCAGACAAATGATATTTATATTGATTATTCAATTGATCTCGGAGAATCATGGTCTAATTTAGCGAGTTATGAATTAAGTTTAACAACAATTTTTATTCCACCAACTAACGATTACGTTCGTGTCACTGTACCATTTAAAGTGTTGACTGTCGTTGAGAACAGGTAACAGATCCTAATAGCAATTCATAGTTTCTATTTCGATATGTAACAACAAAATTTTTCGTGTAAACTACATAACGGGTGGTCCAGATTAAATTGGCTGCCTTTGTAAAGCTTTTTTCTCAGAAAATTTCATTTGGATGCTAAAAGATAGAGAATTTTGTGTAGATTTTAGTCATAGATTCATTTTGAAATAAGTATTTGCCGTTTTTCTACAGCATGAGACGTACTGAAAGTCATAAAAAGCTGAGTTGCTCAGCGCTTTACATAAAGTCAAGTATAACTTTTAGTAGTTAAAATAGTTTTACTGTGCGCTTCAAACAAGACATTAAAAATTAGAATTAAGTCTTAATATTTTAGGCATAAAACCAAATTTTGGGACGATATTTAGCGGTCGTAGAAAGTGGCGACAAGATATGCCTCGTTATCAGCCTTTTGACATCTTTCATTCTATAAGTAAATATCATAACTTCGTCATTTATTATCAAAGGAAGTAATCACGTGGGCAGAATGACATCTTCTAGACTTTGAAATTCTGCATTTGTTCATATTATAAAGCCTAATTTTTGTTCTTCACACAAAACCGCCAAAAATAAACATAATCTCATTAGCCTATGTTTTGGATACTAGAAAGCAGGAACAAATAAGTTTCTAGGAACGAACATACCTTCAGATACACCGAGACATTTTGCTTCTTTTATTACTAAAACCAAATTGTTACGCCTATCTAACTGAGAAAAAACTTGTTTTCAAAACTTTCTAATTCTTTAGTTAAGCAGCTCAGCTTTCTATGGCGTTTAGTACTTCTAATGCTTGAGAAGAACAGCAAATACTTATTTCAAAATGAATCTATGACTAAAATCTACGCAAAATTCTCTATCTTTTAGCATCCAAATGAAATTTTCCGAGAAAAAAGCTTTCTGGTAATTTAATCTAGACCATCCGTTAGAGTGTGTGCCGATTGAATACTGTCGTTAAAAATGTTCGTTTTCATGTTAGTGCCATCCGATTTCGATTTCACAGTAATGATACATGTACTAAGAATTATCCAATTTGGTCCTTACGTTACATTCATATTGGAAAAGCATGTCAAATGAATTGTTTTGGTGCTGGACGATGTGAAAATGGACAATGTATTTGTATGGAAGATAAATGTTCAACAAAAATGTCTACAATGGTAACCATTCATATTAAGAATTTTTCTCTCAAATATTATTAAATTTCTATTTTATAGAAAAATTTTAGAGAAATATTTGAAAATGGTTTTACATCGAACTATTGGATGTATCATGATTCGTATACTCACTATACCGATAAACTAGGAACACATCATGTTTTATGGACTGACATAAATAATTATAGTAAACAAGCCATTACACGACCTATAGATTTACGAGAAATTGGGTAGATAATTAATGATAGTAGCATAAATATTATACTAAACGTTTTCCTTTTTAATTCTTATAGTGCCATAAAATGGACATACAAAATAAATTCAACATGTAATTCATCATTAGATCCAGTTTATTTACTAATTTCAACTGATGGTACGTTAACATGGAAGGTGTTACACAAAGCAAAATTAACATTAAATTCATCAGACTATGCCACAAATATTGAATATATCGATCGAAAAAAAAATTCTATTGCACAATTTAGATGGTATCAACCAAATTCTATTCGTAAATTGTCATGTAATTTCACATGGGGTTTTACGCGAATAAATATGGGTAAGATCAAAAACTGAAGCTAAATATTAGAACTTACATCTGTTTAGTTTTCTTAATAAAATGTAGCGAAATTAATTAATCCACATTTTCTTACGGATTATTTTTACACGTTTATTCGGGATAACTGGGACTATATCGAAGGTGGTACGTTGCGAATTGATCAATGTAATAATAATCAGCCAGCATTAGTCTTTGATCGTGAGAATTTCACGGCAATATCGACACCAGTCATTGTACAAAATTTTTACGTTTTGGTCTTTCAAGTGAGTAAATTTTATTCACGAGGAAACTGTTTCAGTTGATCAATCCCAATTTGATGAAACATAGATCTTTAGAGGATATGATTGATGTTGATCACGAATCTACTATTCGTTCATGCACGTATGACTTCCTGGTACTGTCGTACAGAAAACGTGTCTCTGGAAACCCGATTCAGAATTCTGGATGAGAATATTCTGATTAAATAGGTAACTCGATCTCTTCTATAAACTGGCCAAATCAGATTCTCTTCATCTAGAGGTGTAGATCTCCAGAGACACTTTTTTTGTACGACGGTACTAGAAATCCATATGTACAAAAACGAATAGTAGATCAACATCAATCATACCCTCTGAAGATCTGTGTTTCATTAAATTTAGAAGCTTCTTTTGTCAGCTAAAAACTCAACCGGTCCTTTCAAGGATCCGAAATATGATTTCAATGGACGCTTGTTGAGGGTTTAATCCATCTAAAAATGGGATGTCGAGACCTCGATAAAAGATTTCGAAGTTTTGGATCTTCGATAAGTTGAATTTTTAGGGGGATTCTTTGAACGAGGTTTTTTATCTTCTTGAGAAAAATTGTTTTCTGAATAGTGTTCAAATTCTAGTTTAATACAGAGTGCACTGGCGTAACACAATGCCAAAATATTAGTACAAAATTGACCTTTAAAACAAATATTCATTCAGAATGGGAAAATTTAGCCGATTTACCTGAATTATCATGTCAAACAAATTTAATTAATGGCGGTTATTTCAATATGCGAACAATTAAATTACCTTCAGTAGCCTATTCAAGGTAACATATATCTTTTATACTTTTCTTTAAATTAGTGCTAGTAAATTTTGCAGAATTGACCTCAGTCAGGTATTGTTCTGACATATCTCACAGATCTAGAATTCGTAATAGGCAATGGGGATTTTTCCATGTACATTAAATGTTTTCTTTAATTTTATAATGTGAAACACAATAAAAAAATTTTAAATGTACAGTAAAAAACACAAAAAATAGAGATATTCAATTTATAAAACCATTAAATCTTCAGTGAGATTATACCTCTCCTCGAGTTTAGAAACGGTTAATATTTGTTTTTTCTGAAAAGAAGAACACTTTACGATACTCATTTGTAATTTTAAATATTATGTTTCAGGCTCAAAAAATGAACTAAAAATAAGGTGTTTAGGTATAAAAAATTTGTGAGAAAGAATCTTTCATTCTATTTTGAGAGTCAGCCTTTAATAAAGCTGTCATTCACGTTTCTTGAGGGAGTTTAACGGTATTCGTTAAATTTCAAAAATAAGAATATCCTTGTCATGTAATAATTATTTTAGCCATGCGTCATCTTGTAATGTTATATCACTGGGTCTTCGTTGTACTTTTTGTTTTTGAATAAAACGTTCAAGTACTTCATTTGAATCAAGTATTGACGTATCGTCATTTTCTAGATCTCGAAGTTTCTTCAAACGTTTTTCATTCTGTTCGGCTATACGCTAAAAACCAAATAAAAAAACAACAGGTCACAAAACTATGCTCAATCTAGCCTACAAGCGACCACAATCACAACACCTACATTAAGCTCTAAGCTTGCCATACTTGTTGGATCGTTACGATCATAAAATCCCGGTGGATCGACTTGACGTCGTCGAACCTGACGTCTATCTGCAGCATCTTCTAAATTTGTAACAAATATTCCATCAACAAAATCGACACGTTTCGATGAAGGAATGAATTCATCATTCGTTCTATAATCACTACTAGGTAATAGAATAGAATCATCTCGAAAATATTGTGTTTTAAAGTCAGCGTCTTCGTGGAATACATCTAAATATTTATCGCCAAGTTGTGGTGACTCCCGTCGAACAAGAGTTGGTCCAGTAAGAAATGGACTCTTTCTTTGTGCATCAGGCGGCGTATACGAAGTTTTACGGGATTTTATATCGAACTCATCAATGTCAGACAATCCACCCTTATTTGTCGTCGATTGTTCATTATGATTTTGTTGAACATGTAATCGTAATCGTTCCTCTTTATCTTTTAATTGTTGCTTCATATTTTCCAGTCGATTTAACAGTTCCGACGATGAACCATCACTTCGAAGACTTATATTGGAATTAGTTCGCATGGGTACTCCGGTAATCATGCTACCATTTGCGTTCGATGACGGTCGCTGTCGCGTTGCTTCTAAAATAGAAAAATGGACAATTTATCGAAGACCGTTTAATAATTATTTTATCTAAGGCATAATTCAAATATTATCTACTCGGCTTGTCCAGTTAACGGCCTCCATTTTTTGCTCTTTTTCAAAAAGTTATGGTAATAAAGCTACAAACTAATCTAAAATGGTAACTAGATACGCAAGTAGATTAAACATTTCTCTACAAAATGAAAAGTGTCTCGGCTATGAATGTT